CCTGATGCTGCATTAATACTGCACTATACGATAGAATTCAGTATAGTTACAGCTCTAAGATAGAAGCAATATGTGAGTTACACTTTTTATGTTTAAATCAACTTGATGAAGCTGTTTTTAATGGGCTTCTGTGATACTGAATTCCAACTGTACTGATCAGTATGGGTACAAGTGTGTAATATACATGCATATGATTTTGTCTGATACTAAAATGAGTGAGAGACGATGAATAATCATATGAGAGCTATATATTAGAATAACAGTGGAGTACACACTATTTGTGTAGGGTCTAAATAATCAGATAATTAAAATGTTTGTGTTCCTCAGTCAGACTGTGGGTGGAAAGTGCATTGTTTGCAAGGTTCACTGCAAGATAGTAATAATTAGACTTATTAGTGATTAGACTTTAAACCCCAGAAGAATTTCAATACAAATTTTCTATCTAGATACGGCTTCCATATTTGGGTCCCTCTGATTAATGCAGGTATGGATATATATCAATTCATTTGTAAAATCAAACATACCTCTCCATTTTGGATTGCAATGTTTGCTCTTAATTTTCCACATCCTGTCTGACATTTCTTCTTCCACATCAGTTGAAAAGGGACTTGTAACAAGGGTTTTGGGGGTTTTTTTAAAGCAAGAAGTCTGCTGGATCTGACAAAAAGTCTACTGACAAAAAGGCCAGCATCCCATAGTAGCTAACAAGATGGTTCTATTAAGACACAAGTAGGTCATGTGAGCAAGAGCCATTTCCCACAATTAAGCTTCAAAAACTAGTATTCAGAGACATACTGCCTTTGATTCTGAGGACATCATAAGGTCATTGTTAATAGTAGCCATTATAGCAATATGCTACCCCCAGAGGCATGACTCAAAATGTTCTTGGCTAGGAAATCTGGAAGTTATAGTCCAAGAAATTCAGAAGACACTAGGTCAAGGAAGACGGGAATAAATATATGTATGTTGATTATACACACCTCATTATAATCTCATATTTTGTGTTCTTCACCTGTTACACTTCAATGTCAATATGGTTTTGGTACAGATTTGCCACTATATCTAGCTGATGGGAGCAAACAAAATTGCCAGTGAATCAGTTTTAATGCTGTTTGTTAAACACATGCAAAATTTGCACAA